ATTGGTGGTTGTGATGAACTTAATTTGGACTCTGTTGGTGTAGAAGGTAATGGTGGTTGCGATGAAGTTAAGTCCTCTGATGTTTGTGTAGAAGGCAGTGATGTGGGTTGTGATGAAGTTAAGTCCTCTGATGCTTGTGTAGAAGGCAGTGATGGGGGTTGCAATGAAGGCAATTCTACCGAAGTTGGTGTTGAAGGCAATGGTGGTTGTTGCAATGAAGACTGTCCCACTGATGTTGGGGTAGGAGACAGTGTATGTGATTTGGAAATTTCTCCTGGGTTGACCAAGTATTGGCGCCCAGTTTGTGCTGACAGTTTGAAGCCTCACGTGGGGCAAAAATTTGATTCTTTGGATGGTGCCATTGCTTTTTATAAACAATATGCTGGGGCTGCTGGTTTTGACTGTAGGAAGGGCTCAACTCGGAGGAGGAGGGATGGTGTTGTTGTGGAGAAACATGTGTTATGCAGTCCTGAGGGGTTTAAGCACATTATTTCAGTTGATGCTAAAACTAATAAGGTCACGAGACGGAGGGTGACAAATAGGGTTGGGTGTAAGGCTAAGGTGGTCTATAAGCTCAAGTCTAATGGTTTGTATAGTGTGCATTATCTGGAGGAACGCCACACGCATTTGATGTGTTCAATTATTGTTAAGCAATTTTTAAAGGTGAATCGCAGTCTTGATGCTGGACACCAAATGTTCATTGCGAGTTGTTTTTGGGCAAATATTGGGTCTGTTCGATCATATAGGTTGTTTAAGGCGATTGTAGGTGATTATTCTAGTGTTGGTGCTACAGGTGTGGATTTTAAGAATTTCAAACGTGATTTGATGGCGTACATATTAAATGGCGATGCTCAATTGTTCATAGATACGCTTTTCAAGAGGCGTGAAGTGTGCGAGGCTTTTGATTTTGAATATGATGTTGACGACGGTGATCAACTTTCTAGGGTTTTTTGGGCTGATGCAGTGTCTAGGAAGAACTTTGCTTTGTTTGGTGATGTGGTTTCATTCGATGCCACATATCGTACTAACAGGTTAGTAATTTGTGTTTATTGTGCATTTTGTAAATAATTATGGTGCATATGGTTAGGTTTTATAGTGTGTTTTGTTAGGATGCTGGTGATAAGTATTTGGTGTGTTGTCCGTTATGTAGGTATAACTTGGTTTTTGTTCCATTTACTGGAATTGATAACCATAAGAGATCCATCACCTTTGGTGCTGGTTTGCTTACAAGGGAAGATGTAGATTCATATGTGTGGCTTTTGGAGAAATTTAAGAAAACCATGCGTCATGACCCTATTTGTGTTGTCACTGATCAAGATCCAGCTGTTAAGCTTGCTGTTGCTCGTGTGTTTGGAACATCAAAACATAGATTTTGCATGTGGCATATAATGTGCAAGGTTGGTGAGAAGGTTGGACCGGTTTTGTCTAAAGATGAGGTGTTTCGGAGGAAGTTGAATTGCATTGTTTGGAACAAATCTCTTGACGCCAAGGCTTTTGAGGATGCATGGAGTCATATTATGGAGGAATATGGTTTGGGTGATAATGGTTGGTTTCGTTATTTGTTTGAGTCTCGTACATTTTGGGCATCTCCATATTTTCACGACGAGTTTATGTCGGGCTTGGTTAGGACAACTTCACGATCAGAATCTCAAAATAGTTTCTTTGGCAGTTTCTCTAATGGACATTCTAGTTTGGTTGAGTTCTTGGTGCATTTTGGCAGTGCTATTGGTGCACAACGTCACACTCAAGCAAAAATGAATGCTGATTGTGAATCTTGTTTTCCTGTTTTGAAGACACCACTGGCATTGGAAAAGCATGCAATGGATGTTTACACCATTTCTGTATTTTATGATGTGCAAGTAGAGATTTGTGCAGCTTGCTTTTCGTGTCGAGTGGCTTCTTTGTGCAACTGTGATGGTCATGTGTCTTATGTGATAAATGATGGAGACCAGCGGCCATGGTGTGTGGAGCTTGTTTTGTCTGATTATACTGCTACTTGTTCTTGCAAGATGTTTGAGCGGATGGGGTTGTTGTGTAGGCATATTTTTTTGGTTTTTAAAGATTGTGGCCTTGAGAGCATTCCTTCGAGGTATTTGGTGGACCGGTGGACAAAAGGTGCTTGTTTGAAGCCAATATTTGATATTGATGATACAGTTGTTGATCAATCTTCTAAAGTGGAGAATGTTAGGGTGCTTACTAATATACTGTGGTCTGACATATATGCTTGTGTGGGATTGGCCGATGGTAATATAGAACGTTTGTCACAGCTACGACGTGTTATTTGTGAGCAAAGATAATTATTTTTACAAGACGGCAGTGAGAATGGAAGTGGGGTGGCTGGTGGCAGCAAGCAAAGCGTGATTAATTCAGTTTGTGGAGTTGTGTCGCAGCAGTCGACAGTGGAGGTGTATGATCCCATCCAAGCTAAGAACAAGGGCAGTGGCAAGCGGTTGAAGAGTGCAAGGGAGAAAGCTGCGCGTAAGTGTGTAAAACAATCAAGGAAATGTCACACTTGTGATGAATACGGGCACAATAGCAGGACATGCCCTTTAAATGGTTAGATAGGTTTCTGTTTTTTTTTTGTTTCTTTTCTTGCTCTCTGTTGGACCTAGATGTTTTTACAGTCGTGCACACAATTTATCTCATTACATAGAATCAGGATTTTTACAATATAATTGAAACTGTGCATTTTATTACAGCATATGGTGCGTTTAGCACAAGTTTATAGTGTTTTCTATAGTGTATACTGGTGCATTTCAACATGTTAGGAATGGTGTGTTTTACTTTGTCATCTGGTGCATTATTGTATTTAGAATGATGTGGTATTTTTATATATGTTGTTGGTGCATTTGAATTCTTGAAATAGTGTCTTTTGAGGTTATCGCGTAGTGATGTGATGTAATCTAAATAAATGGCATGTATTTTAACACTTTGCGGCTTGTTGTGGTGCATATCAGTTCTTATAATGGTGTTTTTAAGTGGAGTATTTTTAAACTATAGTTCAATCACATATATAGTGCATTGTAGGGCTCCAAATTGTGTGTTATAGTTGATCAAAGTACATAGTGAGTTCACATTGTCTGGGTGCCATCACAAAAGAGTAATTAGTCTAAAAGTAACCACAAAAATATAGACATCAACCATCCAAAAGTCTATATGCCCCCTGAAATTCTTTTTCAAATACCAAACTCTGCTGCCTGTTGGATGTTCCTTTCTTTGTGCTCGTTTACATCTGACATGATCATGGCAGCCAAGTACCGCACTCTTAGTTTGTTCAATTGGTCCTTGTTGTTCTTATGCAATCCACATTGCCATTCTGCTTGTGTCTGTCCTCGAAAAGTCTCCAAGTGGCGCATGAGAAAAATGCCACAATCCATCTTGTTCTGGGCATCTCTCCAAGGCATTTTCATTATTTTAGATTTCAGTTTCTGAACTTTCTCAGCTTTGTACGTGGTTTTCATATCAAACAAGAATTTTGAAAAGAATTTTCACTACAAGAAAAATGCACATAGACAACGGTTATTAACCGTTGTCGTAGGGGTATACTTTCTGTTGTTGAAGCCGGTGTTGTTGTAGGTCCTGCGCATAGACAACGGTTTTTTAACCGTTGTCTTTTCTACCAACGACAACGGTTTTTTAACCGTTGTCTATTAAGTGTTGTTGAAACCGGTGTTGTTAAAAGTCACGCAATAGACAACGGTTATTAACCGTTGTCTTTTCTACCAACGACAACGGTTTTTTAACCGTTGTCTATTAAGTGTTGTTGAAACCGGTGTTGTTAAAAGTCACGCAATAGACAACGGTTATTAACCGTTGTCTTTTCTACCAACGACAACGATTTTTTAACCGTTGTCTATTTAGTGTTGTTGAAACCGGTGTTGTTAAAAGTCACACAATAGACAACGGTTATTAACCGTTGTCTTTTCTACCAACGACAACGGTTTTTTAATCGTTGTCTATTAAGTGTTGTTGAAACCGGTGTTGTTAAAAGTCACGCAATAGACAACGGTTAATAACCGTTGTCTTTTCTACCAACGACAACGGTTTTTTAACCGTTGTCTATTAAGCGTTGTTGAAACCAGTGTTGTTAAAAGTCACGTACATAGACAACGGTTTTTAACTGTTGTCTTTTCTTTAAAAGACAACAGTTATAAACCGTTGTCTATTGGGTGTTGTTGAAACACCCATAAACCGTTGTCTTTTGTTGAAAAGTCAACGGTTTCTAACTGTTGTCTATTGTAAAATAGACAACGGTTTTTAACTGTTTTTCACCTGCTTAAATTATAATCGTATAAAAAAAGCAATTTATCCATTCACCATATGTTGCAAAGTGTAGTTACATAATTGTGCACAAGCTAATAAGGTTCAAAATAACAAGTCAAAAGACTTCCATGACCAATTCTAATTATCATTCAAGTCATAATACTACTACACAAAAAACAATTCCCCGAACCAATTCAAGTCTAGATGATCACAACGTTCGAATGACCAAATCATACCTACTCTATATGACTTGATAGAATATCGGCCCATTCATATCGCACCAGATCAATAACTTCTTTGTCATAATCAACTTGTTGAAACTACATGTAAAAAGTAAGAAAATAAATTAGTATAGATATAAGTAATTTGCAATGAAATGAAACTTCCCTCTTACTCTCACCACATTCATACTCAAGCTGTTCATAACAAGATAATGAGTTCCCTAAAGAGAATCATAACAAGTGTAGCCAACAAGTAAAGAAAGACACTTGAAAAAGCAATACAAATGCACTCCCCAATAAATTAGTATAGATATAAATAATTTGCAATGAAATGAAACTGCCCTCTTACTCTCACCACATTCATACTCAAGCTGTTCATAACAAGATAATGAGTTCCCTAAGTCCTTAGTGATGTTGATAACTGTCAGAATCCAATGGAAGCTATGCACACACAAACACATAATTATATATTACATCAACACAATATATGCAATTGAAAGTAAATTGTAACCATTCTTACCCTATATTACATGGCACCAAAAGTGTTGCATCACTTGGAATGTCCAGCAGTCTGTTTGCTAAAGCTCGTGCCCTCTTTTCCAATTGATTTTCTAGAAAATTTGTATCTGTTCTTTTCGTTGGCAGATGCCCTACAACACTTGGCTGCATAAATCTGAATTTTTCAAGCTTGTTCTCTTCCATCATCTTGTTATACAAATACCTAACATTGGAACGGAAACTGAATTAGAAGAACAAAGCATAGAAGTGATAAGTTATCAAATTGACTCGAAATATATATTAAATCATACCATATGTAGACAGCAATACACGTGTACGATATTGGCATCAATTGACAAAAAGGAGTAACATCTTCGTCGTGCACAAAGAGAGTACATTCTTCCCCGAAGACATTATTATCTAGCAATATTTGTAAACTCTCTCCATTCCCAAGTGCACGCTTGTAATAACAGTAAAGTAGCCATAATGACTTAGGCATACTTGAGGAGTTCAACTCAAGCTTTTTGACTTCCTTGCCCGCTTTCTTATGTATATTAAAAAGTACTCAGCATGAACATTATGTATAATAAAAATAATATATCCTATATATAAAAATAATGTACATTTATGCATTAAAAGAATTACACTATGCATGGTCCACACAGTTGTGTAGACCATGATCCACCTAATAAACATTGTTTATAAGTTCTGTACTTGAACTAACAAATATACATAACTATTATTAATGTATCTACAGTAATAAATGAAGACATTTTGGAGGAAATGATAGTGAAAAGTTGGAATTATTACTAATAGGAAATTAATAGGACAAATGAAAAAAACATTTGATGGTGAACTTAAAAAAGAAATATGCATAACAATTGCCAGAAGTGGAGATGGGAAATCAGATGCAAAACAAATTGATTGTTAAGAAGAAACAATAAAAGATCCATCAAACCAGATGATGAACTTGCTATTGTTTTATGAAATGAACTCAAATTTCCCTTCAACATATGCACACCAAACCGAAGGGAGAAAAATATGGATGGAAGGCTAAATAAAATTAAAATCAAAGAAAAGAAGGGGATTGTTTGGGAACTGAAATAAGTTAAGGTAATAGAAGAAGTGGGATGGAAGCCAAACAAGAACACACAAGCTATGACTCTGCCTACAGAACACTATGGGAGTTGAGAATCCAACCTCACCTGCAACTCCTTGATCTTCATAGAGAGTTCAGACTTTTGGTCTTTGTAATTCCAAATCAGGTATTCCGGATCAGACTTCATGATGGCTTAGTTACCATTTTACATAATACAATTAAACATCAATTCAAAAACAAAAATTAAAGTTAAAATTATTATCATATGATCAGGAAGAAAGAACACTTGCCAACTAAAAATAGGTCACCATAACCAAAAATGTTTAGAGTCGTTCACACTACTAATAGAGCCACAGTAAGATCATTCAGATGAGCCACAGTAAGATGATTCAGATGTGCTAAAGTGAACATGGAACATAATTTACATATTAAGTGTAGAAAGAACCCACCAAAGAAAAAGAAAAGACAGAAATGTGATTTTGCCTACTAATGAAATCAATTTTAGCAACCTAGTTAGTGTTCAACTGCTAATAAACTAATCTCTCCAATATTAAAGGCAAGCTAAGTCTTATAATTTCACTTGCAACTCAATATTTTTCTCTGTACATTAACTAAAGTAGATTTGAGACTTGGCCAGGGAATCCCTCTACCAAAAAGCACTATGAAAGCCAACCACAGAACTTGAATTCAGCTCAATTTAATCATAACTCAGAACTACACTATTAACCAAATCTAAAATCTTAAACACAGCTGTGGTGACTAGTAAAATTTCATCAAACAATCAATAGTTTTGATGGTTGGGAACACTTCCCTGCTTCCGTAAATGCAATTTCCAAAAGTTCTTTATATCATTGTCTGTTCTTCCTGGCAAAAAGGAGGCTATAGCAAACCACCTAATACACAATGCAAGAGCTACACGAAGACTGCACAGACTGAAACATCCAATGTTTACCCAATAAAATGCATCAATCATGGTACAATACAAGGTAAACCCTAACCTTGAGAATGGGAAAATCACACTCAATAAGAAGAATGAAAACCAAACCTGCAAGAATAACCTATTTTCCACCGTACGTCATCGCCGTTGCCAAGCAAGAAGAGACTGCCACCGCCGTCGCCCAAGCAAGAAGAAGTTACTGATGTCGTCGCCTAATCTGTTGCCACTATAGCCCAAGAAGTTGTTGTCGTCGTCGAGCTTCAAGACAACGGAGATGGAGGATAGAGAGAACACCGTTGTGCTATTGTTGCGGTCGGGAACGACAGAGGGAGTTAGGGTTACTTGAGGGATGAGTGCAAAGCAAACTGGAGAGAACAGAGAATCGTCGTGTATATATTTTCAAGTAATTGCGCCATTTTTTGGAGAATTTTCATTCATTTTAGTATTGAGAAATTCCCAAATTTGGTCCTAACTATTGCACATTTGCACCTACTTAGTAAGAAAGTTGCTTGTAAAATTATGTTCAAGATGGCGCCTAAAAACAAATTTTGGTGGGAATTAAATTTTAGTGAAATAATTTGCAAACATCAATAGTGAGAGTAACAACATTTTTCATATTAATAGTGAGGGTATATTTTTAAAATAAATATAAAATTAAAATTTCGTCACTAAATCATAAACTTTTAGCTAGAGTAATTTTTAACCCTCACAAAAACTATGCAAATAATACATTTTGTCACTAAAAACTGTTTTTCTTGTAGTGTAGGTACAGAACACGAGATTCATAGATTTCTATAATGTAGATTCATAATTTCTATACAGTATATTTCTAATTTAAATACAGTTGTATAGATTAATAATTTCTATATACAGTAAATTCATAATTTCTATACGGCAAATACATAATTTCTGTATTGTTGATTCATAATTTCTAAAATGTATAGTTATCAACACTTGGGAATATGAACATCGCAAATTATAAACACAAAGTTCTGTAATTGTGAATATAGATCAGAGTTATTCAATCATTATGAATATGCATTTCAATTCAAAAATTATGAATATATAGTTTGGTAATTATGAACATAGAGCTAATTAAGATCGCGGCAAAATAAATGGGATATAGCAAACTGTACAGCATCGATCAACTACTCTTTCATATCCATTCTCAACGTGTCCCAGGCATGCCAGAGGGGTCGATTACCAACAATTTCAACCTAGCTTGTTAGTCATGCGCTAGCCGGAAGGGTCGATTACCAACATATAGCTAACTTTAGCTTGTTAGTCATACGCTAGCCGTAAGGGTCAATTACCAACATATAGCTAACCTTGTTAGTCATGCGCTAGTCGGAATAGTTGATTACCAACCCCAGCCCCTATCATATATACCGCCCTTAACCCCTACACACCATATCGCACCATTATGAACACCACCCCATATTGTTTTTTATACTTGATAATTATTATTATTTTTTTTGAATTCATAGATTGGTCTTAATTGTAATATAATTGAAAATAAAATTTTAATGAATTTACTTTGAAATTTTGGTGAATAATTTTATATTTAAATATGAACGAAAATAGAACTATTTTGGTAATATACTAGATGTTGCCCTTAAGTACACAAGTGTTGTTGTGGCTTGGTGGGTTTAGCTTAGTTTATTGTGGTAGAGGTCTTAGGTTCTATTCTTCTTAGGGGGAATTTTTCAACTATTTTCTAAAATTGTTGTCTTGGTTTTCACAAACAACACAGAAGCAACCCAGTTATATACCAGATGTTGCACCTTTAAATGTAAAAGTTTGTGTTGCTTAGTTGGTTAGATTGTTTACTTGTTAAGTTTGAGGTCATAGGTTCGACTCTTGTTGTTAACATCCTTGTTTTTATTTTATATGCCTGTTAAATAATGATGCGCAACGACAACGGTTTTAAAACCGTTGTCTTTGTAGTGTTGTGTATTCAAATACACTAAAAGACAACATACCAAAAAGACAACGGTTAAATAAAACCGTTGTCTTAAACAAATAAAGAACATGCAAAGACAACGGTTATATAAAATCGTTGTCGTTTTAGTGTTGTGTATTCAAGTGCGCTTAACGACAACAAACCAACGACAACGGTTAAATAAAACCGTTGTCTTTTTTTAAAAAAAAGAGCGCACAAAGACAACGGTTTTAAACAACCGTTGTCTTTCTAGTGTTGTGTATTCCATTGCGCTTAAAGACAACACACCAACGACAACAATTAAAAATACCGTTGTCTTATTTTTAAAAAAAACGCACATAGACAACGGTTTTAAAAAACCGTTGTCGTTGTGATGTTGTCTTTTCACAAAATGCACAAAGACAACACACTTATAACAACGGTTAAGTAAAAACCGTTGTCTTTGACAAAAGTGTTGCATCAAAGACAACGGTTTTGGACGAAACTGTTGTCTTTTATACAAAAGACAACACTTTTCTTAAAAACTGTTGTCTTTCTAGTGTTGTCTATGTGCATTTTTCTTGTAGTGTTTTGCTGCATCAAGTAATTGCATACAAATATTTGTATTCCGTTGTCTTTGTATATCAAAAATACATAATCATTTAGGGTTTCGTGTGTTACCAGATTCGCAATCACATATCCATACTTGTTTTCCTTCTTCACAGTCACTGATGAGTTGTCAATGATGTCGTACCTTTCCATCAGCGGGCTAATAGACATCAGGTAGTAGTGGTTGGATGCCACTATTGGAAACAGAAACTGATATAGCAACAAAATACACCAACATGAGCCACAATATACACTAAAGTATGTATAGTAATACACTACACACAAGTAACTACTAGAATGCACCAACCAATGTTTAAAGACAAAACTCAAGTAGTAAGCAAAATATAAAGCAGTGAATATAATATATTACTATCTTACATATAGAATTTTGTGCCACATAACGTCTGCCGCTATGGTCTTGTCCTCAAGGTACTTTGCTTTGAATCTTCCAAACCTCACATCCTCATCTCCTTGTGGGTCCACAACTGTGTATAGCTGCAAAAGTTCAATGGTATTTTTGTTAGAAGTTTAAGCTTTTTAAAGATGAAGTTAGTTTTGCATTTTTGTTCACTTACAGTTGACCATGTTGAAGCAATGAATTTTGTACAACCCCTCTCTGATTCACGAATGTTGAGTATAACTGACCAAGCATCAATTATAGAGACTGCAATATTTGTATCTGGCTTCATTGTCAGCATATCTTTCCAGTAGATTACTCTTCCGTCATACTTGAATAGTTCTTGTGTCCTTGTAATACATATACAGAAGATAATATAAATAAAATGCAAGAATAATGTATATTATAAGTACCAAAGCTAGTAATATTCCACAATAATCAATAAATACACCAAAGAGATATTAGTTACACACCACAATCAGTTAACAAATCATTTGATGTGAACAACCAAACACATACCAAATATGCACTATTAACATATGCATAACACACCACCACTTTTATACTAATAGGGCCCCCATCACCCAATGTGTGGAAGCACACATTATATAACATAAACACACCAACTCTTATCAAATAATGCATCAATTAATATAAGATATTTATACACCAACATTATTATAGAATGCACCAACATATATCAATAACACACCAACTTTTAGAATGTGTTGTGCTTACAGATCTGGGTTAGGGTTGTCCAATACCCATTTCCTGATTGCTTCTTCTGTTGGAGATATTGGTTGGTCCAGATCAAGTACGTATGAGGATGGTCTTGGTCTAATTGGGCTGTTTACTCTAGCTGGTCCTTTGCCCTTGTCTGCTGGTTGTGGTGGGTGTGGTGGATCTGAACCAGGGGCCTCCTGGCCTTGTCCTACTGGTGTGATCTGTAAGATATTTATACACCAACATTATTATAGAATGCACCAACATATATCAATAACACACCAACTTTTAGAATGATCTTACCTCATCATTTATGTTCACTTGTTCAGCTTCTTGCACACATTCTTGATTGGCGGCCTTGGTTATGTTCTCGGTGTCTTCTTGAGCTTTCTCTGTTGTTTGACCATCTAGCCCATCCAATTGGACGTCTTCATTTTCTGAGCTTCATCATTGTCCTGGTAGTCTTGTGCATTAGCATTCATAGTTGGCGTGTCTCTACTTGTTCCCTCTTGTGACAATCCCAAGCTGAAAGTTGGCATATGATTTAGAAATGTCCTCTTGTTTACTGCACGGACGATTTCATCAACCGCTTTCAAGAACTCTGGGTCACTCCAATAGGCATCCTCTTGCTGGGTAAATGTCATTTGTCCATCTTCTTGCGCTTTAAATCCAAGCATCTGTCTAGCAGACTCAAACATCTGCTTGAAGGTGTCATGCTCCAATACCATTGCAGGTGCATTTTCAATCAGTCTTGAAATCCTCAGTAAACTCTTTGCAATCGTCCTTGTGTTGGTAGTAACCTCATCAATAAACTCCTGTATATGCACCAGTAAGTTATGATCAGTCAACAATAAGTAAAGCACCAGAAAAAAAAAAAAAAAAAAAAACTCATGTAGTATAAACACACCAATATATACAGAAGTATGCACAAACAAAATACCCCATGAGTCTGTTCAAAGTGTTATGTATACCTGTAATCCATGGGGAAGTGGTGCATCTTCTTCACATGATGGTGGTTGTGGTGGTACATCAGACTGTCCTATGCTGGGGTTCCGGTCACTGCATGGTGTGCTCTGAACTGGCAAGGCAACATCAACCCGCCCATACCCAAAGCCTCCAGATTTGATCTCAGTTTGCTGTCGTTGACGGAGCAACTTAAATGTCCAATTCGCCATTGCAGGGAAGCTCCGTGGGATAGTCCTCCGGTATAGAACAACACGGTCAACATAGAATACCTGCACTTGGTAGTTTAGAGTATTAATATAATGATGAGTAAATAATTACAAGTATGGTTGGGGGGCTATTTACCGTTAGGAAAACAATTGGGCCTCCATATCTCCCATCAGCGCTGTCAAGCCATGCCTGCTTGCTGGCAATGAGTGAGTTGATGAGCATTCTGCACCAATTAAGTCTCTTGATGTTGTGTACATTAAGAAGGTTGTCGATGTAGTTTTGGTTGACATAACCATTAACTTGTGGTTCAACCAACACACTCATGACAAGCAGTGCAAAATGCCTCTTGAACCAAGGGTCAGCAGCTTTTAATGTTAGCATCTTTTCAGCCATGGTATGGGGGGTGATGTGGCCAGTAACCTTCCCAAAGATTTTTCTCCATTCTGCTAGGAGATCAGATACCTGTTTGGATTCCCTCTTAGTGATTTCTATGTCTCCAAGTGGCAGTCCCAAGGTGGCAGCAATATCATTTTCTGTGATTGGGAGCCTTTCACCAGATGGTAGATTCAGTGTGTTGCTCCTAGAGTCATAGCTTTCAACTAGCCACATCCCCATCTTCCTTGGCAGGTTGGTGATGTTGAGATCAAGTATCCTTCCTA